GTATTACTTCAGTACAGGAGTGTGCGATAGACTTACCTTCGCGTGATGCACCCTGGGCAACGTATATTCATACGGCAAAAGTCTATTAACTGGCAGTTGACTTCTGACTTCAAACTACCCTCACCCCATTGTATGTTATATTCGACTACTTCCACAGTACTCACCTCACATTTTTTCTACCTTCGTCTTTGAAGCACTCTTCTGTTCCCCCCCCCCTCTCGACTTTTTTTTCCACTTTGATGTTCCTTCCCCTCTGTGAAGCCTGAAGTCAACTAAAGGGCTAATGATTACCCTCAAGACGCCTGCCATTTGATATAAATAAATTATTCCAGTACTTCTCATGCTCAAAGGTCCATTGAAGAGGCCTACACACAACCAACTAAATTTCAATATTGCCTATGATAAGCTAATATGAGTCAGTTTAAATAATCCTGTCTCTTTCAAAACGCCAAATGCCCGAAAGTTTGGCACTTGAGATCCCTAATTACTGTTGCATCCTCAATAATATGTCAAGCCCACCAAAATTTTGTTCAAGCATACACATACAATTTGAAGCTGAAGGCCTCAACAATCACCTTCACTTTGCCTTCTAAATGAACAAAAAAAAAACAACTTTTCTGATTCAATAAAAGAATCATGGCACTGTTTAAAAGAATCGGATTTCCCTTCTTCTAAAAAGGACTCCACTGACAAGGCAAAAAAACATGCTGATGCCTTACAAATAAGGCCGTTACTTCCCACATTTTGACACATCCAACGCCCAAACTTGAGTTAAGCAGGTAAAGTTAGACACACCTGGAGTAGGAAAGTTAATAAGTAAACAGTAGTTAAGATTGGGGAAAAACAAAGTTGTGGAACCTAAGTTAAACTGCCTGAAATAATTCCGAGTTCGTTTCTACGCGTTCAAAAAAAGAGCACTTCATAGGGCTTTTGCGGAATGCTAGCAATTGTTAAACGTAAACATAATTTTGCATTACTATATTAAGAGGGTATTTGCAAGCCAAGTGGCCATATATAACTCACTTTTCCTAAATGCAAGGGAAGTGAATAGATGGTGGATTTTCTGTTGCTTCTGCCCTCTGGTACTACTTCCACAAGGCAAGCAATGGAATTATGATTTCCATTGATGGTAGTCGGAGATTTGGGTTGAGGTGTAGTTCTCTGCCTATTATTTTGATGATAAGGCAATCGAATAAGGGGCGAAGACGTCACCGTTTCACCATTCGATTTACCATTCCTCTGTTTATCAATTCGAGTCAAACGTGGTCGGAGCTAAACAAAAACGCAAGTAGGATTTAATAAGAGGATCACGAACCTCGAAAGTTGTCACTATTCCTTCGGGAGAAAATTCAGGCGATAGCAGGAGTTTCAACGGACAGAAATCCTCTTTCAGCATTTCCTCATGAGCCTCCATTCCTGGGATCTCGTTCGCATATCGGGTCCGCATAACTAGACAGTACGCCGACGGATCTGCAAACTGTAATCCATATTTGTCTAGAGCTTTTCGAATGACCTGAGCGACAGTATCGTGAGTGGATAGAAGGAGTGTCTTATAGGGAACACTGGGGTCAATCAATTCACCATAGATTTTCAGGGTTCCACCTTTATCATCGTAACCGTTAAGAGCAAGTTGAGATAATTTGGAGCCCAAGACCTCCTGACGTGTCTTTTGCATGAGAGCTTCTGGATCAGAGATCATTCGTGTGAACGTGCTATTTGGAGGGGAATCACATCGGCTATCACAGGTAAGATCATGATTACGGAAATTTATGATATCCTCATCACCATGTTTTCGAAGACGTGGACCACAACCGCTTGAAGGTTTTTCACTTTTGTCATAAACAAGTCCACGATTACATAGAAGGCTTTCGATGCCAAGAATACCCTTAGAAGATTTCTTGGCTTGTTTCACTCCATTCTTCTTAATCAGCTCATTGGATTTGCGGTTACTGAGTGGAGAGTCTACCTTATTGATACTCGTCTAAAAAAAGATTGCGCGAATTGATAAAATAATTGAAGTGGACAAAACTTGGAAACGAACTAACAAGATACCTTATGATCAGAAGTAACTTTTAAAATGAATTTTCCTTCTTGTCCAAGTTTAGTCCAGTTCAATTGAACAAGAAGAGGATATTCATCAGGTTCTAATTTTCTTTCTGCAAAACTATTTAAAAAGATCAAAAATACCTGAATTTGTGAAGTGTTCATATAATCCACATTTTTGAGGATCGAGGTGTATAGAAATAAGGTAAAACTTCTCCAGAAGTAAAGGAATAATCTCACTAGTTTTCATGATACTCGATACCCTCAAACACTTTGTTTGAAATTTCATTTCATCATCTTGGAAGAAAAATCTCATTACACCTAAGAATTCCAGGTACTAAAGAAAATAATTTGATCACAATCGTAATAATTACTTCGTTGGGTTTCGACAGATGAAATAAATCCAAACGGCTTGCATTCCAATCATCAATTAATTTTAATAAATCTCTACGGACTTCTTCCATTTTAGCTAACATTTTTGAGGCTGTCTACATGAACAGCAATTTTTCTCATTCAATTTTAGTTAACCGCTTCAACTACAATATGACCTTGTTCCGGGTAGCTGCAGCTAAATTTACAGTAATTGATATGCTAAAACAAATGATATAAAATATATTTGAAATAACTTTAAACCGATACGACTTAATTTTATTTTAAATTGATTTAATTTTTACATGAAAATTTCGATCGAATATTGTTAATTAGTAATTTTTATCTTCATCGTTGATTAATTTATACCTGTTAATTCTGAAAGCATCAATCTTAATTTTTCTAAATCGACAAATTTTAAAGTGACCTAACTTTCGTTTTTTTAAATTTGCTCGTATATATTGTCAGACAAATGGGATGTATGATATATCCATGTTAGCATTTACTAAATGTCCACTGTAAAAGAAGCATTTGAAGATTGTTTTGTTTTGATGTTCAGTTTGCCTGCAAGGCTTAACAAGGCGTATGAATTTTAATTCACATCTATATTTTAACTCTATGACCCAATTTGGTTATCATTTTCTGTGTAAATGTGTGGTCAATCAGTCAATCACTTCTAATTTTTCAATAGTCTTTATTGAAATTCGTACTAAAATACTCTCTATTGACCTCCAAAATATAGAAAAGTTTCAGTCAATGACAATCAGTAATTTATTTTATATTCTAAGACCTTAAAAGGACATATTTGGTCTATAGATTTTTGACAATATTAAACTCAATTACGCAAGTCTGTGAATATATCATACACTTTTGGCATGTACCTGTGGTCATGACATCGGTCCCATAACAATATATCTGACATAATACTTGAGTTAATTTCTAAGATTTATTTCGCCATAATGAGAAATCTGTTTTTGACATTTCAATAAATATGGCACTAGTTCGCTAAATAAACTCTGCCACACGGTAGCGATGAGTCAGATCATACATATAATCAAATTGGTAAGCTGTTATTAGAAAGCTAGAAAAATTTATTGATAAACTATCTCATATTTCTGCAGGAACTTTTCATTATCCTTTGTTTATGTTATTCGTTGCAACACATATTTATGATCCCCATATAACTACATTTGTATTTATTTCGTTACATTTCATCGCCTGTAACTGATTGTCAAAATACGTACTTATTTAAGCATGTTAGTTAGAATTGCAGCTACCTTGTTTTCATCTAAAAATGAATGTTTTCAGTTATTTACTTGAAGACAAAACTATTCATTCTCGACCGGAAACAGTGAGCAATTAAATATAAACTTTTAGCAAATATTTTGATTGATTAATTATTCATGCTCAGCATGGAATCAGAAAGCAGCTAAAGTAATATTTGGGCATTTATTCGTTAATGGAAATAAATTTACAACTGCTATGGTAATAAGTATATTGATTGAAGATGGTGTGGTAAAATTGTAGATTTTGATTACAGAATTCGACATGAATTAAGCATTCTCCTTTGATTAACTTGACTTTTAAGATCAAATAAATAATCAAAATCTACAAATGCACCACATTAAAGTTGTCTCTGGAGCTAGTTAACTGCTCGTACCTACTCACTTAGGGCTTGTTTTAAAAATGAACCGCCGTATTTCCTTCTGCTATAAGCCACTTAATTTAGAAAAAAATATATGGCTTGAAAGATGGAGTTTTAGCGAGTTATAGAGCGAAGAAAAATTACACTCACAGGAATTGTTATATATATTTGCAGATGCGGCCTGAAAGGCACCTATATATACTGATAGTACATTAGTTTTTTCATGGAATCGTCTTGTGAAACTTCTCCTACACCCTCTTCTACAACTCGTCTACTTGTTTATTTTTAGTGAAATGTTAAACGTTTAATTGATTAACGATATCGAGCGAGTGAATCGATCATTGAGACATAGATTAGCCAAGCAAATTATCAAACGATTGTTATTGAGCCATAAGTCATATTTAATGAGAAATATCAGATTGGTAAATATTCATGACATATCCTTATGTTTACATTTCTCAATTTCCACAGATAGTCGAAGATTGCTCGTTATGAGAACCACATATCACAAATGGCGTATTTTGCTACATGGATGAATTAAAAAGCAAATTTCAGGTGAATTAACCACTAGAATTTAATAAGTCAATATACCCCACGTTTTAACTTTCTTTTTGAATCGGTTTACCATTGTAAGAAAGTTAGAGAATTAAGTTGAAATGTTTGCTATTTCATTATAATTATGCATTCTCTTTAAAGCCCCAATCTAGGTTGCTATTTCAATGATTTTTCCTCTTTTTTACTAAGCTGTATATTGTCATTTACATAACATTTAATATATTGTAATTAAGTAAGCCTTATTTTAATAATCAACAAAATTGTTTGGGTGAATTGAGAAAAAAAATTAACCAGTTTCGCAATTTATCCATTTATTTGAAACTGCTATCACTAAGGCCTTTATTTTAAATTTGATTATATTTAGATAGAAACAATGAAGTTTTTTATGAAATTTCGCTAATAATAGATCCGAATAGTGGCAAGGGCTTTAGCTTCTTATGGCTTGCTTCTCCATTTTACATTCAAACCTTTTCCAAATGCTTACAGTGTTATAAACGGAATATTTTTGAAATGAGATTTTCTACGTGTTCCAAATTCATTTTCTTCTAAAATGCCCATGGTTATATTATGCTGCATGGTATGTGCGATAGACTTATCTCCACGTGGTGCACCCTGGGCAACGTATACTCATACGGCAAAACAAGTCTATTAACCGGCAGTTGACTTCAGGCTTCTAACTACCATGACCCCACTGTATGCCATATTCGACTACTTCCACAGTACTCGTCCTACCTTTTTTCTACCTTTTCTACCTTCGTCTTTGAAACACTCTTCTGTTCCCTCTCTCCTCTCTCGACTTTTTTCACTTTGTTGTTCCTTCCCCTCTGTGAAGCCTGAAGTCAACTAAAGGGCTAATGATACCTACCGAACTGCCTGTTATTTGATATAAATAAATAAATATTATGCTACACTGCAAAAAAATAGAAGAATATGAGCAATTCTTCTTGAGTGAAAAAAATATATTAGTGCTAATTCAAATAGTTCTTCTTGCGTGTTTAATATTTAAAATACGCTGCTGTGGACCACCCTAACAGTGAGTGTACGCTAAGCTGATTACAATAGCTTTAAAACAATTCACTTTAGAAACATGAGAAGTGCTATTCGTTGTTTGTTCCAATTATTAAGTAAGGTGAAAATTTTAAACCCAATTAACTTTTCAAGGAGCGTATTCAAACTGCAATTCAAATTATTTAACAAGCAGAGAGAATTTAATCGATATTGGATATTGCTCTAGCATTAAGATTCAAAATTCACACCCCAGCAAAGTGTTTGTCAATTATTACTAAACTTAATGAAGTGAGTAGATCGATTCAAATATTAACATTTCCCCTCCACTCAACGTGTTCCTGTCTCTGAAATTAATTTCTTTCTTTTAACAACTTCCAATTCATTATTAATCAAGTATAGTGAATAAAGAGCTTTTCTCTGCCCACATGTGGTGATACGGTCGAGAAGATAAACAATGATTTTATGTCAAACATTTCGTGCCACGTATTTAGTAAAGAATGAAAAATAACTGATTTAAATTAGTTATTTGTCTTTTCCACAGACATCAAATTTAATGTTAGTGTAATCTTGTAAAATCTTCAACTTAAAGCAACAAATCACATAAATATATTTTCAGATATCATTTATTGCGAGTTTTTGTTGGTCACTTTTTTATTCGAAAATGCTCTCATTTCACGACTATTCCTTTAGCAAAGTTAATGGTTATTACTCATACTTCGGCCTATCAATATTATGCTTTATATAAATAATTCTAATTAATTTATGATCAATTATCATCAGATTCTTTTAATCCCGAATAATATAATCGATTTATCACAAAGAAAATTCAAATTGCTTAAAACATGTTTAGCAAAAGGGTCAAATACATTTACAATTTAATTGAGATGAATTTAATTAGAGCAATTAGAGAAAAAAATGATCTTTTGGTTGCTTTAATTCGCGTAATTTAATGTTTCAATTCTATGCAGCTCTTCTTGATAAACCACTGTCTGAACAAATGATGATTAATCTTATGTCCCAGATCCACCTCGTTTACTACTTGGACTTAATTTGACTTAACACACAGAAAGCAAAGGTTGCCTAACAAACACAAACTTAAAGAAAGAATTTTGGAGATTTTGCGTGGTAGTTAATGCAAACTTGTTAAACCGATTATTAAAAAATGCAAATAGAATTAAGATAAGGCTTTTTGGGTGTTAAATTAATTTAAAATACTGAGTTACCATTGGCCTCATTTACTTGAGTTTTAAGAATGAATGGACATTTAAATAAATAGGATTGCCAAAATTTCTATCCCACGTGTAAAAATGCCAAAAGAACTAAGCACAAATAAACCTACTGGAATGAGAAAAACATAATTCTCATCACAAATGCAAAGATAAAGTGTAAATCATGTCATTATAAAGGAGGCAAGAAGGAGCTAGGGGTTTAAAGTGCACTTAAACCACTATGACCGAATTTTTGTCTTAAGTACCGACTTATTAGTCAATCATCTGCTCATTAGTGCCTGGGAGTAAAACTTTTTCAAATGCGTTATATGCACCAATAAGCAGCTCTCCTGTTTCCTCCCCCCGTAGAGCCCTAGTGGAAGCAGAAGTACGCTCTCCTTCTCATTCGTCTGATTTACAGATACTGAGCAGCTGCGGGCATTCTTCGAGTTGCCATGCTGTGAAGAGATACGTTTACGCTCTTTGCATTCAATTAAATTGAATGCTGTTACAATCGATTTGTGGATTCAATTATGTCTAACTTTGTAAGTGCCGAAAAAGAGGTATTACATAAATTTAAATGTGATAATTTTAATGCCAATAATATAAATTAAAAAATAATATATATATATATATATATCAAATCTTCGCACTTGTTACAAGCAGATAAGTTTGAACA